CCATTTTTCCTTACCACCTTGATCATCAACAGAAAGAAGCAAACTGCCATGGTATGTGTAAAGCCTAAGTATGTATGAGCAAGAAAAGGTAAAGGTTACCTGGTCCCTATCCCAAGGTAATCAGAGCCAAAGGGTTCCAGGTAATCCCCTAATTCTCACTGGAGTTGTTCACCTGCAGCAGCACTTCTGCAGACTTGTTCACCCCACCTAATCCAGGATAGTTCAAGGCAGGGGCTGCTAGATTATCTACTTTCCTTTCCTTTCCCAGTGAGAATCACCTATTAGCAAGAAAAGCCACTGCCAGCAGAATATTTGACATGGCAGGGTTGGGGTCTGAAACCTTATTTTTGCTTCATTTTATTTATTTAGCGTTAAGTTTTATTATTTACCACGTGCTTCCTCTGACACGACTTATCGATCTCCCCAAAGTTCAATAGAACTGTCAGAGAAATAGAAGATCAATATGCTTATGTCAAACAATCCCACTCTCGAAAGTCTGCCTGAGTGATTGGAGGAGCTAAATGCAATGCTGGGAAGCCTGAACCAGAGTCTTTCTAGATTGTGCCTCCCCCTGGTTCTTTCTTTCTCTTCTTCCATTTAAGACCCAATTTTCACCCCAAATTGGCTTTGAGTGTGGACAGAGGAGCTGTTCTGAAATTATCAAGGTCACAATATTTTTCTCTGCAGTGGTCTGTCAGCTGCCCAGTTTAGGTACGTAGGCACCTGCAGAGAAAGGAAGGGAAATGTTGTAAGCTCCTTAGAAGCTCCTGCAGATGGGCATGTAAGGTTCAAATAAATAAATAAATAAAAGAAATATAATAGAAGCCAGAGCAGGTAGTCAGGAAGAGAAGGGTCCCCCCCCCCCAAGGTTGGCAGGAGATGTTGCTAGAATGAGATGGGAGTAGACAAGCTGTGGAGCAGAGAAGGCCAGGACTGGGAGAATCAAAAGCCAGAAGATCTGGAGAAGATCCAGGAAAGGGCCTGAGATAATTCAAACCCAAAGAAGAACGTGCAGAAAAGAATCAAGAGAAAAGAAAACACAACCCTGGACTCTACATGGGGAGAGCGCAAACTCCAACTGGTTCAGGTACCAATTAATTAGGCAAGCGTGTATTAAGGGGAGAAGCTGTTAGCATTGCTAAACCTGCAGATAAAGTAGAATGGGAAGAGGAAGAAACTAGCAGAAAAAGCCATTTGCATTATAAGCAAAGTGATAGAAATCTAAACCACTGAGTAAGGTTCTAAGAATTAAGTTAAATAGCTATTCATCAAGGAAGAGCCGTGGGGGAGCAGTGGTTAGGATGCAGTACTGCAGGGCTAAATCATTCCAGGAGTTCAATCATGAGTGGCTCTCAAGGTTGACTCAGCCTTCCATCCTTCCAAGCAGAGAGAGGTAGCATTCAGCAGGTTCTGACCAGTTCTGGAGAACCGGTAGCAGAAATTCCAAATGGTTCAGAGAACTGGCAAATACCAGCTCTGACTGGCCTCACCCCCATCTCTTCTCTGCCTCCCATTGAGTCCCAGCTGATTGGCTGGGTCTTCTTTTGTTGCCCTGCACAGGAGAACAGAGCTGAAAAGCAGGTTAGTGGGGTGGGGAGGGAATGGGGATTTTGAAGTATCCTTCCCCTGCCACACCCACCAAGCCACGCCCACAGAACCGGTAGTCAACAATTTTGAATCTCACCCTGCTTCTGAGGTGGATAAAATGAGGACCCAGATTGTTGGGGGCAAGAGGCTGACTTTAAACCGCTTAGAGAGGGCTGGAAAGCACTGTGAAGCGGTATATAAGTGCTATATTTGCTAGGTCAAAAGTCCATTTTAGTATAGTGGTCAAGACACCAAGCTACAAACCAGAAGACTGTGAACTCTAGTCTCACTTTAAGCAGAAAGCAGCTGGATGACCTTGGAGCAGTTCTCTCTTAGCCCCAAGGAGGAGGCAATGGACACAAATAAACAGAAGGTCACTATACATTGATAGTCCTATGATAAACATTTTTTGGTATGTATTTCTTTTTCTCTCCATTCCCATCCTCGAACAAAGTACTTCTTCCCTCTCCTATCTCCATTCTACTGTATATTGGTGGTGTGTGTGTGTGTGTGTGTGTGTGTGTGTGTGTGTGTGCGTGCGTACAAGTGTATTGATGCACTTCATTCACCGATGTTCCTGAATATCACCCTGCACCGATGTAGAGAAGGTAAACATCCATCAAACAGCAGCGTTCCTGGCTGACTGAGCTACCGGTTTCCCAGGAATTCCACATCCCAGGATACACAAATGACAAAAGACCAGATGTCCAGGCACACTCATTGTCCATACCAAAATAGTTATGGAGACATAATGCCCAGCAAACAGGCACTTAGAGGGGCACGTAAACCAGACTAGCTAAGCCAACTGGAGCTAAACACTTCTTTTCTTATTTGGAAGAAATGCCAAAAATGATTTTTTTTCTTCATCAAACTGAAGTAGCATTTTAAAAAAAGACAATTGTTTTTTGCTTCTTTCTGCAACGCATTACGGCCAATGGCTTTTTTTCATCTCCTGACAAATGAATTGTGTGAAAATGTCTACTTATCCAGGGGTCTTCAAACTTGACAGCTTTAAGACTTGTGGACTTCAACTCCCAGAATTCCTCCTCCAGTCATGTTAGCTCAGGAATTCTGGGAGTTGAAGGCCACAAGTCTTCAACTTGCCAAGTTTGAAGACCCTTGATTTATATTATGCACAGTCCAGGTAAATCAGATCTGCAGTATATATAATATATAAACCATAATAAAACCATATCATGATCAATGGTATCCTGTCTTAATACCATCTAATACAGGTAGCCCTTGTCTTACGACCACAATTGAGCCCAAAATGTCTGTTGCTAAGTGAAACAGTGGTTAAGTGAACTTTGCCCCATTTTTACGACCTTTCGTGCCACAGCTGTTAAGTAAATCACTGCAGTTGTTAAGTGAGTAACATGGTTGTTAAATGAATCTGGCTTCCCCATTGACTTTGCTTGCAAGAAGGTCACCAAAAGGTGATCATGTGACACCAGGACACTGCCACTGCCACTGAGTCAGTTGCCAAGCATCCAAATTTTGACAATGTGACTATGGGAATATTGCAATGGTTGTAAGCAGAAGTGGTATTCAGGAGGTTCTGACCGGTTCTGGAGAACCAGTAGCAGAAATTTTAAGTAGCTTGAAGAACCGGCAAATCCCACCTCTGACTGGCCCCACCCCCATCTATTCTCTGCCTCCCGAATCCCAGCTGATCGGCTGGCTCTTCTTTTGTCGCCCTACACAGGAGAACGGAGCTGGAAAGCAGGTTAGTGGGGTGGGGAGGGAATGGGGATTTTGCAGTATCCTTCCCTGGCCACGCCCAGCAAGCCACATCCACCAAGCCACGTCACACCCACCAAACCACGCCCACAGAACCAGTAGTTTAAAAAAAATTGAATCCCACCACTGGTTGTAAGTGTGAAAAACAGTCATAAGTCCCTTTTATTCAGTGCTGTTATAACATTGTACAGTCACTAAATGAACTGTTGTAAGTCGAGGACTACCTTTGCTCAATATAAGCAATTCTTAATATACAAATACAAGTTGGACACAAATAATGAGGACGTTTTTCCACTTTCATAAAGATCCTAGAAAAAGAAGCCTTTTAAACCTTTTTAACAATTTATAAAGATTGGACCACAGGCCTAACTCAGAGAAGAGTTGAAGCCAGGGAACTAAATGGGGGGGGGGGAGCCTTAAAAAATGTGAGGTGGCAATTTTAAGATAAAGGATCGACTGATTGCACAAGTGAGCTGAGAGCACAAGAGTATGAATTGTAATCAGCCTTATCAGATAACACAGTGTGCACAGCCCAGAAGATTAGTACTGACAATTTGAACTGATAACACTTCCAAAGAGCCAACCAATGTTAAAATTCATGAAAATTCAGGTAGGAGTGTACTGGAAGAGATCCAGGACCAATAAATCTGCACTGAATTTTTTTTTCCCCTTTAACCTAACTCTCACAGGAAACTGAATCTACTGTCAGTCGAAATGTTGCCCTAAAATTAGCAGCAATGGAATCAGAGAGGCGTCGAGACAAACAGGGATCCAAAACCATCCACGACGAAATATTCTATGGTCTATGATCTATGATCTAAAATGTGCATGGAGGAGTAGTGGGGCAGAATTTTGGAGAAACCAAATTTTCCCAGAGTGGGGCCAGATTGGGAGACTGCATATAGTTCCCAAACTGGATGGTGGAGGAGGAAAGAGGTTTAGGATGAGCCCCACATCCTAGAATCCCTCAGGAATATATTAAGTCGGATATAAGGTTATAGCTTTAGTTTGGCAAGATTCTATCAGGTGTAAGCAAATCAAGGAATGGACTTGATTGGATTTCACTGGGTCGTCTCATGTAATCAAAGCTCTGCTCCTTTTTTACTTATGTCGCAATTCACATAAAAAAAGGCTTTGCATGCATTCATTGTAGCTTTAATTCTGACTTTTGGCATACCCCTGCCTGGCAGGCAATCCCTCTTATAACACTTAAGGCCTCAGGCTAGGAACCAGGAGACTGTGAGTTCTAGTCCCACTTTAGGTAGGAAAGCCAGCTGGGTGACTTTGAGCCATTCATCAGAAGATGGGGAGTTCTAGTCCCACTTTAGTTTTGAAAACTATGGGACTTTAGGTCAGTCCCACCCCACCCCACCTCTCTCTCAGACCAACTCATCTCACAATATTGTGGAGAAAATAGGAAGAGGGAAGAGTATTATATATGCTGCCTTGAGTTATTTTCAAAAATAATAAAATCAGGATATAAATAACTAAATAAATATAATAAATAAATAAACCCACATATAAAATTCAAGTGCAGAGCCCAAAGAAGCTTAACTCTCGCTCTAATCCTAGCTTCAGTGTGCTACCAGCAGAAGAACCAATGAAATCTATTTTGTCCTGCAATATAAATGTCACTGCTCCACTTTGGAATCAGGACAGCATTTGAAACTGACCTCTGTTGTAATTGTGAGTGTCCATGAAAGATAATCCCAGCCTCTCATCTTCCTGAAGGGTACTCTGGTCTGTGAAGCTCTGGTCAATTGCACTCATCATGTGTGTTTTCTCATTGCGGTAGTTGATTGTGGCTTTGGTCATGTTGACAGGTTTCCTAGTGGAAGATTACAAAGAAGGAAAGTAGGCAAATGTTACTCTGTGCAATCCCATTTGAATGATCTCTATAAGCAGATTCCTGAAGGACAAAAAGAAGAGGGGAAAAAAGAGAGGACAAAAGAGTTGGGGTTTCTGAAGTTGGGGTGGACGCATACCTGAGAAAAGTCAAGAGGCTGAGCTCCTTCACCGCTTTGAAATTTTATCAATAACAGAACTACCTTCAGAATTAACAGAATTCCCACCCAATTCATGCCCTGATACCATGTTTATGGGTCTAATCACTTTAAACTAAAGCCATATTAATTTTTCCCAAATCGGGTTCCTCCCCAGGCATGTTTTCCCAATTGCTACCAGAATTCCAAGCACAGTAATTTATTATTTATATATTCATTCAATTTCTCTCCTGTTCCCCCCATTTTACAACAATCCAATGAGATAGGTAACGGGGGAGAGATAACAACTGCCCATTTACTCCGTGAACCAATGTTGTTGTCAGTCTAGATCAGGGGTCTGCAACTTGTGGCTCTGGAGCCACATGCGGCTCTTTTGGCCATCTGCTGCGGCTCCCTATCAGCTGATCACACCACTGGCTGGCCCCTTCCCTCCCTGTCACTCCTTGCCTGGCCTGAGAAGGTAAGGGAGATGGCGGGGGATGGAGACTCGCTCCATATTCCAGAGCAGGAGGTGACTGGGTGGAAGTGAGTGACATCGAGTTGGCCACGCCCACCCAGTCACACCCGTTATTAAATTATTGGCTCCTGGTGTTTTCTTTTCTGTGGGAAACAGGTCCAAGTGGCTCTTTGAGTGATTAAGGTTGCAGGCCCCTGGTGTAGGTTTTGATGGTTCTATTTTAAAGGCTGAATCTCCAATGGATCTTTGACCTTGAACACAAGGACAGCTTGGGCAATCTGAACTAGTAATCTCACACTACAAAACAGGGGTAGATGTAGGCAGCTTTACTGATACATCTGTAGAAAGGTGGATTTATACCTCCCTCAGATTAGGTAGGCCTCCTGTGGTCTCTGGATGTCAATTTCTCTCTAATAGAGTTTCATCCTCATCAGTAAGGGGATAGCTAACTCATCACAACTACAAGCTGGCTCTTTCTCAGTAATCTGCCTAGAATACTCCAATTACTTTTTTAAGCCTTTCATGTGACCAAAGTTTTCAAATTATGTGATGACATATGGGAATGACCTTGAGGGACAGGGCAAAGAAACTGCAGCCCAGGGAATGGACAGATAAAAAGCAGATGAGTGGGGAATGTGAGCAGAGATGGGGTGCTGGGGTTTCGCAGGGGTTCAGGAGAGCCCCTAGCTAAGATTTTGTGCAGTTTGGAGAACCCCCAAATCCCACTCCTGGATGGCCGTGGCCACCCCACTCTGCCCAGGAGTCCCCATGCCCCTGTTTTGGATGCATGTGAGTTCAGGGTGCATGTGGAGGCTCAGGGGAGGGCGAAAAACTGGCCTCCTGGAAGTTCGGGAAGGCCGGAAATGGGCCCGTTTCTGGCTTCCAGAGAGCCTCCGGAGCCCAAGGAGGCCCTTTTCGCCCCCCTGGAGGCTCGAGAAAAGCCTCCGGAGCCTGAGGAGGGCAAAAACGCTCCACCCCACCCTGGTGCAGGAGACCGACTAGGCCACACCCACCATGACCACGCCCACCCAGCAACTGGGCAGAAAACCCTCTGCTAAAATTTTTAAGACTCTCCCTAGTTTTTGGAATATAAAGGGGACAAGGGAAAGAAGCACTTTCAGACTGGCAAGAGTCTGTTAATGTAGTTTTACAATAAAGTAAAATTAGCTCATCTGGTCTGGTTTCCAGTAAGGGTGACAAAACTAACATTAGCTTCCAATACATATGGAATATATTAACACGTCATCGTTTTTGTGTGTATTCCACAGTTCACAACAAGAACTATGCCGCATGTTTTGCATTCATGCCCGGGATCTAATTTAAAACATCGACACATTTGGTTTGGTCTTATCCTACCACTGTCACATTTTGGTTGAAATTTATCAGACTGACAGTCAGGGTTGAGGTTGATTGTTGCTTGATTAAAACGATTGCTATCAAGTGCGTAACCTTTTAAACTAGTTTTCTTCAACCTGGCTGCCCTCCATATATGTGGCTGTTGCTGAGATGCCTAAGAAATCAAATGTACACATCTGGAGAGCAGCCATATTGGAGAGAGCTAATCTAGTTTGTATCCCTAGCATATGGTTGTGGTTAATATACTGAGAGTTATGGGTATTTCACACAAGGAATATAGCCAAAAGTAGTAGTATTTCAATATTGGAAAGATACATTTGCCCTGATTGGCAGCATTGGATTTTTGATCTGTGTTCTTCGTCAGTATTTGGACATGTTCTGTTTCAATAGTGGCACAAGGAACAAATGTCAGAACAATTAGATCAACAATTCTTATTTTGTGCATGATTATGTATTGTGTAATGCATATATTTCTCTGTATTATATTTTGGGTCTACCCTGATTATCTTACAAATTTTAAATGTTAAGTTCTGATATCTAAAATCTGAAAGAGTCCTATGTTTTGTGAGTATTCCTATACACAACACAATGAATTAACAGCAATTTGTCAAGATTAAGGGACATGTCTCTGGATCAAGAGGCATTACAAGATAAGTAGGGCAATTTATATACTGATAGTTGTATAAATCAAAATATTTTCAAGGTGACAAAACCTGCATGTTTTCCTCCAAGCTAATATTCATTCTGCAGTTGGTTTCTTCCAGAATTCCATATCAGGATTCCCACCCTTAAAATTTCAGTCTTCAAATACATGGATGGAGGAAGGATTATGAATAAGACTACATTAAGGACTAAGTAATAAGAAGCCAATTGATAAACATGGCATATAGATTATCTCCTCATTTCTGTACTCTTCCCAAAGGCATCAGCCCAGTTAAATTACACTATTACTGTAAAACAATATTTCTCATATTCTCTCTATGTTTTTCACTGAAGATTTATCAAGGAATCTTGGTTCGCACGTCCATAAAACCATGACATAATTAGATTATTTTGGCCATACAATGCACAAAAAGCCCAAGAAAAAACAAGTCATAGTTCTAAACTGCGATGGATGGATCTGCACATCATGCTAAACCAGTGATGGGATTCAAGCGGTGTAACAACTGGTTCGGTGAGCAGGCAGCATTTGAAAACCGTCCATTTTCAGCTCTAAAACTTATCTTCTACTGCAGTAAAACAGCTGATTCGTGCGGCAATCCGCTGTGCCGCGCGAATCAGCTGAGCTGCAAAACACAGAAATATAGGACTAGGATAAGAGGCGGGTGGGTGGGGCCAACTGATAGCCGGAACTATCGGTTCGTCCGAACCAGTCCAAACCGGCTGAATCCCACCCCTATGCTAAACCAAAACAGCATGATTTCTGAATGAAACCATATTCCTTTCCTTAAAAGCTCCAGTGGAAGAGAACAATCCCCCACGGAATGATAGCGCTGAGAATATATCTATTTGGTGCATTTAAAAAACTATTTTAATGAAGCTCTCTTTCCCTTGGGTTCTTAAAAACATATTGACAGACAATATGCCAAATGAATCTGAGGATTGAGGCCACTTATCAAAAAACAAATTTCTCAATCAAAGGCAAGACTCGTATACACCCCCTAAGTCTTTTGTAAGTGCAATCACCCACTTTTATGGCTGTGAAAATATTCTAGAGCCTATAACATTGCCTCATCTTGAAATACAGCACTTATGTCTGTTCAATACTATTGATTCTGCTCCCAATGTGATTTTAAGCATGGACAAGTTCTTCGGCTACCTACATTCAAAGAGTCAACTTTACATAATTTGCTTTTCATGGCTCCCAGCTGTATTAAAACTTTTGCTTCAATTCTTACAGTGAATTTTCAGTCTGAACATCAGTCAGTTAAAAGCCAAAATTCAGGGCTCACAAAGCTTTATTCTTTAGTTTAAGCCATGTACCTTGGGATTTTTATTGTTTATCTGCAATTTCTCTCTCTCTCTCTCTTTGAATTTCTGGTGCAGGGAAAGAATGGGGAGAAATGATGCAGATCTTATTGCAACCCTACAGAAACATCCTATTCAAGTATTATCTATTCGAGTTTGGGTGTTCAGGCTAACATGGGAATGCTCGGTCCAAGAAGTCCTGCTGGTGGTGTCAGTAAAAAGAGTTAGTTTACAGTATAATTATTCCTAACAAGAGGTTTTCTACATGCAAATACTTTTATGTCAGCTGAAATTGTTTACTCTCAGGAGTCCATATAAAAGCAAAATGTAGAGTTAGGTACCACACTGATTTCATGCAACCCTTGAAGTTATTTTAGTTACCAGCAACAGCTCAGAAAGCCTCATGCTCCTTGAAATTTATGGAGGTTCTCACCATCCAGGTCATAGTTGTCCTGAAGGTGCTTTTCCTGATGGCACCTGGACTTTCTTGAGTTTTTTTTTCTTTGAAAATGTTTTCCTTCTCATCCAAGAAGCTTCTTCAGTTAGAATCTAGATGGGAAGTGAAATTTTTCAAAGAAAAAAAAACCCCAAGGAAGTCCAGGTGCCTTTTGGAAATGCACCTTTGGCTCCTAAAAATTCGACTCTTGAAAATGTAGAACAGGGGGGTCAAACTTGATTCATTGAGGGCCACATCATTGGGGAGGCCGGGAGAGGCATGGCCAGCTCAACTCATGTCGGGGTGCCTGTGGTGGCCCAAGTGTTCTGCCAATGAAAATGGGCTCCCAAGCTCCATTTCGGGTTATGACGGCCTCCTGCAACCCTCTACCAGCAAAACAGCTTGGGAGTGCCACTTGTGGCCCTTGCAACTCCGTTTTTGGCTGCAATGGCCTCTTGTAACCCTCTGCCAGTGAAAATGGAGCTTAGGAGGGCTACCCTCCCCAGCTCCGTTTTTGCTGGGAGACGCACTGCGGGCCAGTCCTTCACTGTTTCCAGGGCAGCCCTGCATCCAGCTCCCGGGGCCTTGAGTTTGACACTCCTAAGGTA